TNNNAAAGCAACGTTGGTGGAGCCACTGTGTATTCACAATATAGATCACAAAAAACCAAATAACTTATAGTAGAGTATGAAGGTTGTTCAAAACGTAAGAGAGAGAGAGAGAATAATGATGTACTCGTGTTTGCCAAATGTGACTATATATAGAAGAATGGACTGTGTGACCCTATAAGCATGCCTTCTTCCTCTTACAGCTATCCTCCTCAATGACCAAAAAAAATCTTTCTCCTCCTGTGTTCAAATCTCCCAAACCAACATAAGAAACAAGAGTAAAAGTTGAAAGCGTAGAGAACACTTTAATATTTCTAAAACTACACAAGATAATTATAAGAAATAAACTTCTAAATGAAGCTGGTAAAATGTAACAGTACCCGGTATGCAAGATGTCCATAAAGCCTTTTGAGACTTCTCAGAAGTATTGCGTAGACCATTGTTAAAAGCTAAAGAAAATGGTCATACAAATCCAAACGAAAATCACAAATAAGCATAACATTTATATAAATAAAGGCAAATTTGTAACATAGATGAGAGTGTGAATGGCTATACTATAATCAAAGCGAGAAGAGATTTGTTGAATTAAAGACAACATCTTTGAGCTGCCCTGATTCTTCGTTTAGGATTATCTCTGATAAAAAATTCTACACATAAAAATACTTGAATAGACTCAGATCAAATGGAACATTATGAATAAATATCATGGAACAGCGATTTTGGTTATTATTTAACATAACACATTCCAGGAAATAGGATTTGATGATCTTATTGGAAGATTGGTCGGCTGAAAGTCCTGAGAAGCGTTCTTTCATGGCATCTTCATCAGAAATTCTTAGCCACTGAATAAACTGTCGATGATCTCATCTGCTTTAAGGAGTTATGTGGTTGCGAAACAGATGATAACCAGAGCCCCAATTTAGAAGATGAAGACGTAGAGTTATCGTATCAAAATGCTTTACTTTTCAGACAAGATATCGTATCAAACGAGCATACACAATGGGGAAATGGACATACCTCGATGGAACACGGATTCGCTGTTTTAGGCCACGGTTTTGACAAATCTCCCTCGTCGTGAGCAGCCACGGCTACTGCAGCTACGACGGCGAATCATCGTGGTTATGCACCCGTTAGTTTACTCTCGATGGGTTTCTTAAATGGACTAAAACGGGCTCGGATCTATGTTTTAGATGTTGAGTTGCCGCTTAGTGATGCAACACCATCGATGGGATTGTCGCTTGCCTGTCCTGTTTGATGTATACTCATAGACAAATTTGGTCAGGCCATTGTTTTCTTATGCTTTGCCTATTCAATTCCAATGGTGAAAACTGATAACCATGTAAGGCAATGATTTAACATGTTTCAATGTTTATGTTTCAGTTGGCTGCTGAGGATTGTTGTCTCTAATCTCCATAAGAACACTAGACGTGAGTGTGTTCTCCTGACTTGTAAATAAAGATTTATGTTGTCATTTCTGGATCGTTTGTGGTCAAAATTGATTGCTCAGTTGATTGGCGTAGGGGTATAATAAAAAGAAGTTTGTGATTGTTTGAAATCGTCTCTTCTTTCTTGGTGGTGATAATTGCAGTTGTAAACAATATTCTTTTCACTTTTGATTGGAGTTAGTTACAGCTCCAGAAAATATTTGAACTTTTGTATCATAAATATATCAGCCCTTCAATCTTGTAACTTCATCCAAACGTGAAACGCGTATTATTCAATGTGGTGCAGTGTGAGTACAAATGTCGAAACATATTGATTAGTTACACAATTTTTCTTTTTTCTTGTCTTAAATTCTCAAAAACGATACATTTTAGAGCTTATGAGTTGAGAGAAAATAAAAATATTATATTACAATAGAATATGTAGATGGTAGTTAAAGAGAGCAATCGACAATGTGATCACTTTGAACCAATTATTGGGTTATAGCTAAGCAAGTATGGCTAGTGAAGAGTGATAAAAGAGTCAATTAGCTAGAACATATTGATCATGA